TTTCCACTGCCACGTGTCTGTCTGTCTATTGTCTGAGTGTGTGTCTGCCTGTACTTCGTTAATCTGGAAAACGAAGTTAGATAGATGTATTGAGACCGGATGTGGAAAGCTTAGTCGCCAGGGACCCGACCGGAAAGTTCGGATATAATCAATCGAAGCTATGTCCTTCCCTAAATGAGTTCGATAGATGACCGGCACGACTCTACCGCTAATGGAAAAGTATGATGTACAGGGGCAAGACGATACTAGTTTAAGGTGAAGATCCCGGGTTTCCCAGAGCGTCAGGTTCCGTCATCTGGCCTTAAATGTGCTAGTGTGATGGCTCGGATCAGACACGCCAACGACGTTTTTACTCTTTTCTACTTTCGTTCTCTCATTATCGCGAATTTATTTTAAGTCTCGAGACAAAATATTTATAAATTTTACTTAAAATTATTACCGAATTAACGTAAAAATCTATTTTATAAACAATTCTAATAATTATTTACAGGTAAATTAATATTGGATGAATTTAATCATTTTTAATCCTTTCTTGTATTATTGTATAATTTCATTTAATTACAATATACCGTAGCTATATATATAAAAGTATAATTAACCCACAAAAGACGTCGAGTTACCGTGTCAATCTACGTTTAACTTCTTTAACTTTCTGCCCCGGGCCACCGAAAGTGTGGGTTCCCAGACGAGGTTCGAACTGGAGTAAACCGTGAAATTCTTGCGCGACACGAGATGTAAACAACGAGACTCGGAACGGTTCGAGTATGTGTCAACTATCTGTCAAGGTCTTAGCGGAAGACAAACTCTAACACGAGCGCTCATAAACAGGTAGATGTTTGACTCGCGTGTCTATAAAATGTTGGCCGAAATAAACCTTTTCGAACAAAAAAATAGAGGAATTTTTGATAGGTGAAAGGTGAAAATGATCGTTAAATTCTTAGACGTCAAAAATGGTAAATAACGGCCTGAGTTATGAGTGCAGGTGTTATTATTTTATAAACAGTCATCGAGCAGAGTCGACAAAGAGGTATCAGATGGACACCTCGAATCGGACCTTTCCCGCGACCCGAAAAAGTTTCATCTTGCACCTGGAGACAAAGGAGAGACCAATCGGGAAGCGAGGAATGGGACGAGGGACCAATCCGAAATGCGAACAGTGGGGGAAAAACTATAAAAATCGGAACTTCAAGGTCGAAAGAGAGTCTCCTCCGGATTAAACCTACAGTGGTGATTTAAATTGTGTTGTGCATCCGCCGAGGACGCCGCAACGTAACAACGAACTTCTGCTTCGTCCAGATATCTTTCTCGTCCGCCGGAACTGTGACCCATCACACGAACTTTCGCCGTTCCCAGGAGCACCGAAGTTTTGAAATTTACCTATATCGATGTAAGCATGAATTCGAACAAATAAACGGGTTTTATTTTGTAAAACACTTGTACATCATTTGCCTCCTTCGCCACCGCCCACATACGCGGTTTCCCTTAGGCTCATTCTGACGTGAGATAGCCTTTTTCCCCCTCAACGTCGGCAAAACTTACAAAAGGCCCTTTATTCTATAATTACACGCCACCGTTAAGGCCTCGTGTAATATGTTCAGAGCTTAGATCTTGACCATTATATATACATAAGTATCTATATTTGGTAGAGGAAGAACCCGTTATACGTCATAGGATTAATACAATAATGCAACGCAGATGAGGGAAGAGATGACTTTTGAAAGAACTTTGTACGGATAACTGGCCAATATTTCGGCGTTAGACACTCGAATAACCCGGAGAAGCTACGACTTGTGTTTGGTGGTTTTGTTTATTGGACAACCGATGAACTCTACGTATTATAACCTACAACCACAAGTTTAAGTCCAGTCCCGGGAGGAGCTCGAATTGGATACTGAAGCAAATTATGGAAATTTAAATAAACATTCACACTATTGGACATTTTAACATTCCCACGCGCAACATCATCGACTTCGATCGACATCCAGCTGTCACGCAACCAATGAAATTACGACGAATCGCATATTTTTCTTATATAGAGGTGCGAATCGCGTGTTTTCGGCATTCTTTCCGAGAAAATCTCCAGGAAAAGCGGAAGCGGAACTAACAAGAGAGGATGAACAAGTTCCTGTTTATACTCGTCGTTATCGGTAAGGTTTATAAAGTATCTTTCGACGTACTTTATAATAGTTTTATATGGTCGAACCCTCGACAACGGCTAGTTCGTGGCAATGGACATTCGTAAACGGTAGCGTTTTTACGGAAACATTTTTGTAAGAAGAATGCGTAAAAAATAATCTGCAAACTCACTAATTTTAAACGTTTCCTTGGGTGGCCGCTGTTCACGGGTTTAGCTTTATTTGAAATTAAATGCAATTAAGAATAATATATATATTTTTACAGGGATTATTTTGTTAGAAAGTAGCGAAGGTCGTTGCACGAAAATCGAAGGACGTGATGAATATAACTTGAAACGAAGACAGTTAACATTTAATGCGATATCAAAAATTATCGATTACGTTAAAAAGGCGTTTGAAAATATGAATAAGTGGTTGGAAAATACGCAAAGTATGGGCAATCGGCTAGCTGGTAGTAGTTAGTTTAGCAGATGATGAAAGAAAGAAAATTGAAGAAAACTCCATGACTGGAATTAAAGGAGGTCAGGACCGATGTAATTTTATTCATTTATTATAGAATAAAATCACTTTAATTTTAAAATATTTATACGATAATTACTATTTAATTCCGTTTATAAGTGTTAAACAGCTCTAATAAATACATTTTTTTGAAATTTATAAATATATTACATAATTTTGGCCATTGTTTTGAGGAAAACGGGCAAAATTCTACTTATAATATATTCAGATGTAATTTTAATTTAAAATATTTGCAGTTTGACTCCGAGGTGGACCGATTTTCGGCGATCTTCGGGCTTCACTTCTTTAACATCCGTTGGACCGTCCGAAAAGATTTGTAATTTGAATATTCAAATATTAATAAAGAACATTTGTCTCGAGAATATTCTGGCTTTTATTATGATTTGATCCTTGTTATGGCATCTCGAATTAGAAATTGCCACCAAAATCCTTAGGATTGCGTTACATTGACTGAATTGTGACTGTTAACGTACGCGAGTCTCGCTCGCCGGAAATGACCCACTCCAATGAGCATTTAAACGTTAATTAATTAAACAACAATTTATTTAGCTAAGTTAGAACTGTTTTACAAGGGCATCGAACGGTGGAAGAGTCTATTCCTACCAGCGCGTCAAACAGATAGAAAACACACAATTTCGGAGCGAGTTGATAAATACCTGAATGGTTAGTTGCGGTCCCGATTTTTCGAAAAGAGAATGCTTGATCCGGGTCAAGAAGGGTCTCGTTCCGTCGGTATTCGATCCTCCGGAGGAGCGGTGGAAGTTTATTAATTAACACGCATGATTTAGGCAGACGAACTCTGTCGTCGTCTGTCCTCTTGCCTTTTATTCGGAGTTCTCGCCCTGCCAATCTAAATGCTCACTTTTAGTAAAATTGCCGGTTGCTCCAATCGGCGATTTTTTTCTCCATCGGACATACTTGGCTGACTCCTGATGAGTCAGCCAAGTATGTCCGATTTTTCAGACGAGTAAGGATAACCTTAGATCTCCTATCATACTCTTTATTATGTGTCAAATTTTCTATCAAAAGTTTGATCTCGTGTACAGTACTTTATTGTGGATTTGTGCGTTCCACATATTTTGCCATCTCTCCGCTAGTCCACGAACAGGAATCCACATCGTGGGACAACAGGTGTTAAAACACGCAGATTATAAGAAAAGGAAGGTATATTGCCAGTGATTCCAAGTGAGGACATGGAGGAATCGAGGTGCTCAACAAGAATTTCTTTATAGACGAAGCATGGTTCACTTATCAGGATCAATCGATTCTCATAATACTTGTTTACGAAACACTATGCACGAGACACCGTTGCACAAGGCCACGTGGAGTTTTCCGGGTTTTCTTCACAGTTGTAATACCTACGTGCTAGTTTTCCATAAATGTCCACCCGGGAGGCATTTCCCTCGACAGATCGTCCACACGTCGCACTGCCGTATACAAATAAACCAAATCAAACTCTACTTTCAACAAGACGGCGCAACTTCTTATACATTTAGGAGTTCAATAACACTATTGTACCACACTTTTGGAAAAAACACAATTTCGAAAAGACTTTGGCCACTACGATTACCAGGTCTGACAACACCAGACTTTCTGGGAAGCAGCAGTAAGGTTTGTATACATAAACAAGCTCCAAATCTTGCATGGACTGAAAAAGTCACGTGTCTCTTCACTACTTCCCATTACTAAAAATACTTTAACTAATCTCAGCTTCAAACAACAAGAGCATAAGAGTCGGATTGGGTCTAGAAAATGGAGGACATCTCTGCACGTCAGGTAAAAAAGTCAAAGAAGAATTTCCTGAGTGTGATTTACTGCTAATATGAGGGGACATTATGAAAGCAAATATCCCGCGCTTCAAACGGTAGTTTATTAATATCCGCGGCGACTCTTTTGACGCGCGGTTTATCTGTGACGACATACTTCGTTCCTGAAAGCTCCTGCCGTTCCCCGCCCACCGCAGAACTCCTTTTCGATCGCAATGTATAATACACGAATCAATATTTATCAGTTATAATATTATTGGTGTTTTCTAAGTTTATAAAATATTAAATTTATAACATTTATTTATAAACAAGATTATTTAAAAAATTACAAGAAAATAATAATGTAAGTTCTATAACATATTGTTTTTTTTATCTATAAATACTAGTTCGTAAAAGCTCCGTAAGCATTTTTTAAAATATTTTAAATGTTTATTTATCATTACGAAGCAAAAACCGCAGCCAAAATGTTTATTTATTTCTATTTTTTTTATTCCTCTTTCGAAATTCAAGTCTAAACACGACGGCGATAAAGTTATTTTACGACACCAGGGTGCGTATCGTGTCTTTTCTAAAACGAAAACAGCCAATGGCGCGCCACGTAATCGTGACGACGGTCAAGTAAACAATATTTTGGACCAATCATTTTATTTATAAGAAAAGGCTTCGGAGTTTAAATTGTCTTTAACGTGTTCTTCGAATTTCGACTTTTTAATTTAATCCGACGAAAGTTATAAAAGTAAGATTTAAATTTTTGAATGTTTCGATGTAAAATTTTAATGTTAAATACAAATAGAAGTTTTAAAAATGAAGTGGCCAAGTTATTTTAGTAGGAGTTTACTTCGAGCAATGTGTTCGTACATTAACACAGGAAGAAACACTAAAACTAACACGTGCCATTGTTTCTATTGTTTAACGGCCATTTCTTTCTTCTTAGCTTTTAAAATATTCAAGAAACAGTTGCTTTTGATGACGCAGACAGAGAACTATTTATTATTGAATTATTTATTAAACACAATTGTGTATTAAAGTTATATTCGAGTATATGGGGTCGAAGTTTCCTGAAGTAAGCCATGCTAGCGTTTGTATAACAACAAAAAATTAACATCGAAAAGACCAAATCCGGTAAAAATAGAATGTCGTGTTAATAAACATTCTATTTTTATTGGATTTGAGGGTTTTTTTAAATACTAATTTTAGTTAATTAATCCAGCTTTTGGAGTTTTTTTCTTTGTGACGACACTGCCGACAATTTGCCTTTACCGCTTGATAAACCACTTCGGACTTATTCTGTGTGTCGATGTTGGAGAGGCTCTGTTAGGATGATGCTCGATCGTAGACCGGATTAGAATGTGCTCTGTGTTGGTGTTTTTCACCTTTTTTTCCAGTTGCAGACCGGTAATTATGTGCGACTGTGAATTATGCTTATATATGGTTATCTACAGTTATTGTATGTAACAAAGTATGTATGGTAACGCTAGATTACCATTTAAATGTTTTCTGTAACTACTGTGTTGGTAATGGTACGGTTGTATATTGTTCTATGGACCACTGGTTTGGGAACTGCTGCTTTGCCTAAACGTACATTTGGCACGTACTCTGTTCTATGTAATATTACCCGAGGATGGTCGTTAAAAATGGTCGAAAAGAAATATCTGTGCTGGAGTTAACGGTTGCTTTTATTTTTGTTCGTCGGTTGCAATTACTTTATAATTAAGATTGTATTTTTTAATTAAATTAAGATTTGTTTTTGTATATACAGTGGTACCTCGGTATACGTCTGCTTTAGAATACGTCCTATTTGGACGAAACAAATTTTGCTCGTTATATGACTTAATTCAACTATACGTGCCATCTATGAACAAGTAGCACTATCGGTGTACTAGACCAGACTAGATGTTCACAATGCCACGCTTTATAACTTTGTTAAATTTCTTCTGATTTTAATTTGTAAGTAAAATTTTATTATCTGAAATATTTCTTCAGTGTGAACATGATATTTAATTAAATTACCTTTTACAGGTAGGCCTACAGTTAATTTTTATATTTCTCTGATGTCATATCTGTATAAATGCTGATATTCTTCCAGTAACTTCAAAATTTTATTATTTTTATTAATCATGAATTGCAAAAAGGCAAATGAAAAGCAACAGAAAACTAAAAAAAATTATTAGAATCACAATGGAACTGAAAAAAGAAATTGTTGAGAAATATGAAGGTGGCATGCGTGTTCGAGATTTAACTGTCGCATACCGTATTCCAAGAATGACGATATTGACAATCGTGAAAAATAAAGACATTATAAATCTGCTAACATTGCGAAAGGGGTTAAATCAATTTCTAAACAGATATCGAAGACATTAGATCATGTTGACATTAGAAATTGCTATTGCTTTGGATAACTGAAAAACTGTTCTACAGCGTATCAGAAGCAATTATTTGCAAGAAAGCTAAAAAGATACATGCTGATCTCATGAAAAATCAAACAGGAACTAGCCAGGAAAGCGAGGTGTTTAAAGCTAACCATTTTTTTTTTACATGAGAATGGATTAATCATTATTACATTACTTCTTATGGGAAAGGTTGGTTTGATATACGTCCTATTTGGTGTAAGTCCAAACACCAGGAACGGATTAAGGTCATATACCGAGGTTCCACTGTATATGGTATGTGCCAAAATATACAGTACTGAAATGAAAACACAAACAATATTAACTTATCAAAATGTTAAAACAACAAGCAAAAGAACAAAAAGAAACATTGGCAAAAAACACCCAAACAATTTAAAACATTACTTCTCGGTCTATTAATCTTTTACAATCATTCCATGCATTGCCTTATAGGCAAAAAAGTGTGTTCCACAGCCCTTAAACCTTTGAACAAACTCCTTTTTTATTTCTTTTTTAACAGCCTGATATGGTTCGTCAAGAATTGCTGCCCATAACAAGAAATCTCTCTCTTGCCATCCTTCCTCTTCTAACTCATGTCTTGACTTTCTATATAACTATCTGTTCAATCAAATACTTTTGGGATGGGTAGATTCCCCCCAAAACCTTTCTCCTACGGCAACTTATTCCTAAACTTTGTCTGTTGTCTCGTTTTAACTCCCTCTTTCTCTTTTGTTTTCTGTTCTTCCCCATTACTCGACTCCTTCATAGCCTCCTCCTCTTCTATACTTTTCTCTAATTCCACATAAACCTCCTCCAAATCTTGTTTAACTTTTTCTAAACTTTTCTATATTGCCAGTGATTCCAAGTGAGGACATGGAGGAATCGAGGTGCTCAACAAGAATTTCTTTATAGACGAAGCATGGTTCACTTATCAGGATCAATCGATTCTCATAATACTTGTTTACGAAACACTATGCACGAGACACCGTTGCACAAGGCCACGTGGAGTTTTCCGGGTTTTCTTCACAGTTGTAATACCTACGTGCTAGTTTTCCATAAATGTCCACCCGGGAGGCATTTCCCTCGACAGATCGTCCACACGTCGCACTGCCGTATACAAATAAACCAAATCAAACTCTACTTTCAACAAGACGGCGCAACTTCTTATACATTTAGGAGTTCAATAACACTATTGTACCACACTTTTGGAAAAAACACAATTTCGAAAAGACTTTGGCCACTACGATTACCAGGTCTGACAACACCAGACTTTCTGGGAAGCAGCAGTAAGGTTTGTATACATAAACAAGCTCCAAACCTTGCATGGACTGAAAAAGTCACGTGTCTCTTCACTACTTTCCATTACTAAAAATACTTTAATTAATCTCTGCTTCAAATAACAAGAGCAGAAGAGTCGGATTGGGTCTAGAAAATGGAGGACATCTCGGCACGTCAGGTAAAAAAGTCAAAGAATTTCCTGCGTGTGATTTACTGCTAATGTGAGGGGACATTATGAAAGCAAATATCCCGCGCTTCAAACGGTAGTTTATTAATATCCGCGGCGACTCTTTTGACGCGCGATTTATCTGTGACGACATACTTCGTTCCTGAAAGCTCCTGCCGTTCCCCGCCCACCGCAGAACTCCTTTTCGATCGCAATGTATAATACACGAATCAATATTTATCAGTTNAACGACTGACGCTTCCTGCAGGCGGGAAAAAATTCAGGGTTGTGCATGACTGTCCCCTCCACAACTCCACCGAAGGAGGCCTCTCGCGCATCATTGGTTTACGCGAAAAAAAAAAGGTCCGATACTTTTTGAACAGACTTTGTATTTCCTGTATTTTATCATTCCTTTCAATAACTTTCTCTATCTCTTGTATAGAATCCATTTCTATTTCCAAATTCTCCTCTTCATCTATCGACCCTTGAACAACACTTTCACTTTCCATTTCCTTTGTACATTCATTTCTCCTATGTCCAGTCTCATTACACCGAAAGCATTTAACTTGTGAGCACTCCTTTGCCCTGTGATCACTTGACATGCAAATGGCACACAGCCATCTAATGCCTGGATACTCGACTCTAATGCAACATCCTCAAATTTCAACCTGTGAGTTTATTTTTCCTGAAAGAAACTAACATACACACTATTAGCGTGTCGATTTATTATGGTATGTGTAATGTAAGTATTCGACATGTGCACCGCCTGGCCATATGCGGTGTTTGTATCGTCCGTGCAGATTCTTAAACATATCCCACAACTTTGACTGGACTTCCCCTTCTGTTGACATGGTATGCTGTCAGAATGGCAAAATTTCTTAACGATAGACTGCATACTGCATAACTTTGTTACTGGTGCCTTCTTGTTAAATCACTCTTGGATTTGTTCTGCCACCTTATTCGAACTCTGTCCCCCTTCGTATGAACGGAAATAATACTTGGCTATGAATGCTTTTTCCTCCTTTGAAAGACCCACCTCCAACAACAACTACACGACACAATTTTCCTTTTGCTACTGGAAACGTGTGCGGCCAGAGCTATGTCCCGACAACAAATGTGTTTTAGATGCATTAGTTTTGGTACTGTATATTTCGGTGCATACAATATTTCAGTTTTTAGTAATCTTTTTATTATTTATAAATATATTTTACTGACGGATAGTATTTTTTAGAATTAGAGAATCATCTCAAGATTTTTCAAGAGCATTGATGAATCAATTCAACCCAAAAGAAGAATTTACATATACGAAAGTAGATACTGGTCAGATTGAACACATAAGAGAAACTACTCTTCTGCATGATTTAACTCAACATAAAGAACTGATTAAAAATAATACAGAAAATTCTCCTCTGAAGGAGCTTCATTCATTGTTCGTTCAGAATCTTAATATAACCGAGATTTTTGCTCCGACAAAATCAAATAGAAAAGATTTAGATTATAAAAGTGCAGAAACTTTTAAAATTTCTTCAGTATTGCAATGTGAAAATAATGTAAATAATCCCAAAGAAGTCGAATTTAAAAACAAGTTTCCTTCTGCTTCTTCCGAAATGGTTGGTTTGGCAAGAACCTATTCGTTGCAAAGATCGAAATCGACCACTGACAAATGTTTGATAAGAAACAAAGACAAAACAGACCATTCTGTGGCAGAAACTCCATCGGTCGCTCAAGGTTTTATTTGTCCCAATTATTTACATAAAGGAACAAAGATTAGGGAAAATACGGGCAAAGATAAAGACAAAAATCTCGATTTATTAGATTCCAATATAATAAACGAATCAAAAGATCATTCTGCCAATGACTTCTTAAAAGGTATGTTGTTATGTTTTATTTATATAATAATAAATATATCACTACCTGGAATGCAGTAAAACTATATTTTAACATTAAAGACAAACATTTTTTACATTAGTTATAAAAAAAACAATGTTAAAGTCCTAATATATGATATCACAAGTTAATTAAATCTGAATAATATATTACAGACTATAGGGAACATACGAACACATTTTTGCATAGTAAATTTCTTTTTTCATCTGTTTTTTTAAAGAGACTTTTCACGGCAATTAATAATGTTTTTGTTAAGTAAAATGATTTAATTAAAGAAACTAACTCTGAACTCTTATGTGCTTAAAAAGCTTTAATTTTAAAGATCTGTACGTCACTCCAATGTTAGAAAGAGAGCCATTACGTATAGTGATAAGCACATCGAGGAAGTAGATCCGGTAATCACTTTGCTACTCGAGGCAGAATAGTAAGCCATAGGCATGATCTATCGAATGAAACATCTACGTCACTGTCACAAGCAAAGGTGGCCAAGGCAGTTGAACACAGGTGGTTCGTAATGGTGTCTTGATGTTCCCCGATTCTAGTGCTCAAAAATTTATATGAGCTATTTAATTTTATGATAAAATCTGTAACTGTAACTGGTGTGAATATATTAAATATTTTACATAGCATTTATTGTAATGGTTAAATTGAATTTGAATTATACCAAACCAAGAAATAAAATCATTGTTATAAACTGTTGCATCAGATGCAGAACATTGAAATATATACCTGGAAATATTTGTATTTCTACTTAGCTGGCTCCATACATTTGGTATTCACTGATTTCCAAATAATTGCCTATTCGTTTGATTTGTCATGATAAATCAACAAGGAGTGTGAAATGGCAAATACCGAATATTAGTTGCAAATAAATTGTCCACATCACTCTGTTTTTGGCAAAACATTTGCTCGGCTTTGGCTAATACCAAATATGTGGAGCAGGCTTCATTCTTATGCTGTATTGGATCCTATAAATCAATATACACTGTGAATAATAATATAATTAATTATTAATATTTTTATATATATTATTAACAACTGTTTTCCATAATAAATTGTTAAAGTTTACATATTAGATTTTTTTTCTTAGATGAGATTGTAGAATTATGGTTTTGTATGATCTTGCTTCTGATGAAACATTGATGATTGGAAGTTTCTAAATTTATTGGAGTTCTTGTTTTTAATCAATAATATATGCATTGAAAAGTTACGTTGCAGTTGTTTTATTTGTATACATTTACTTTGTAAGTGTTAATTTTCCATATTTAATACCTCGTGAAACATCAAAGATAAGCCGAGTTAATGATGCTTTGCTTGCACATTTGAATGGAAAAATATTTCAGATATTTAGCTATAAAATTAGATATTATGTTTATTTTAAAATCTATAAACACAGATAATTAAAATGTGCAAAATTCAAAAATGGCTTGTAAGAACTTTTGTTCTCTTACAAGAGAAGTATTCTTTTTACTGGAGCATAAAACTTCAAAAAGTGCTTAAGTTTTATGCTCGAGTAAACAAATATTTCTGTTGTATTTTAATCTTGGAAGTTTTTTAAGCTCACTAAAATTTTGAGAACAAATTTATTGATGATTCCACATTTTACAATGTATCACCACACTTTATTTCTGATTTTTCTATAAGACAGAAAAAAAATTATATACTCGTTTTTGAGAACAAAACATTTATATTTATTTTACTAATATTTTTGAATCAATTCATCAACATTCGTTATGAGTATATTTTGATTATGATCACAAAAGTGCTCAAAAATATCATCACAAGAAGCGTGTTCTGCAATTGTATAATCAACTTATTAAGTTAAATAATTAATTACAATTTATTGCTGTTGTTATAATTAAGTTTAACTTCAAATTTATTTTTAAAATCTATTAATAAAAGTTCTTTTACAATTTATTTTCAACTAATGATGCATTGAAAAATAAACATTTGTGTTTATTAAACTAAGTTTACACTTTCTTACAAAGCAGCAGCCATTTAAGAGATATTAAGAATGAAATTGACTCAGTTGCAAATGAAAAAAGATAATAGAAAATATATAAAAATATTATGTTGTATGTACAAAATAGCATAAAAACGTGCAAACTTTATTTTTATTTAACTATTTATTTGCATTAATTAGTTTATGGTAACTCTTGACTTAATGATTATTCAATAATATCCATAAATTTGGTTTATGTTTGTTAGCTAAGTAAATTAATGCTTAGTAAATAATTGTGTTTTGCAGACGTCATAGCTTATGTAGAAGTCAGGTCTGGTCGCGAAAATAGGTCGAAAGTGGTAGAGAATCGGCTCCAACAGATGGGTGCCAAAATAGTTCCACGTATCCGTAAATCGACCACCCACGTTATATTCAAGGAAGGTAGAAAAAGCACGAGAGACATAGCGGTAAAAAAAGGAATACATCTCGTATCCGTGTTGTGGGTCGAAAGGTAGGTTTTCTACTCTTATTCAAATCGAGTTTATGTTAATTTAAGCAGTTGCAATTATAAAAATATTTGTATACACTTGCACTTGTGAAATTCTATATTATCAAATTTGGATTTTTGATGTTGAGTAACTCACTGCTAAGAAACAAAATAAAATAAATTAAAGCACAGTAAAGCCTATTTAAACATCAGTCAAAACTAGAATTACAAGTGTGAATCATTAATCTTTTGGAAAATTGAGTCAGCTGTTAATGGACTACTGATCAAAAGAAATGAGCATTCTGCTGTTGACAAGTTATTGGATATCCATTAAATTTAGCAGGAAATTTCATGGGAGATACAATATTTTTGGTAGGAAAGTTTAGGGACTGATTTTTATATTTATACCGTACTATGTTATTAGATGCTGTATTTCTTTTGAGCATGACAAGATGACAAGCCTACAAACTTTAATATTGTGTCCAAGCATGATTATTGAAGCTCAGGATCAAAATTATGCCACATTAATTAAATGAGAAGGTGTTCAAATTTAGAAGGAACTGCACTTTGAACTAGTGGGACTTGTCTATGACTTGACGAGTGCCTGTATTGTCTGAGTGTCGACTAGTGCCAAATTATTGGATCCAAACTAGCAAACAGACAACTTACTGAGATTATACTATATATATATAGTTTAAATAAATAAATTATATATATATATATATATATATATATATTTATTTATTTATTTATTTAAACTAAGTTTAAAATTGTTGAATGAAGATTTGGGTAGCTCTTTTGAAGTTTGGACTTAAAATTTGTAGGCAGATGTATCTTAATTTGGCAGTTATAATGTGTGTGTATTTTTCGGAGTTAATATTGCTTTGTTCATTTGCTGACATTCAGAGAGTCAATTTTTGTATGGATTGTTCCTGTTTATACCATTGCATTTAGTCTGTTAATGAAAAATTTTTTTTTTTTTTTTGAATAATAAAAATATATAAAATATTTGATTTCATTTCAGTTGTAGACAACGTAAATGTCACGTTCCTGAATCGGAATATCCAGCCAATATTCCAGAAGTTTATGATACTCCATTATTTGGTAACAAATTTCAAGTAAGTTTATACTATTTATAAAGTATTTATCATAAAAAGTATTGCATTTATTAAATAAAATAAAATACAGTAGGCTCTTGGTAGTAAAAAGCTTTGTCTTGAAAGCTTTAGAACCTTTATTATTAGAGAGGTTACGGCCGACGTTTTCAATGCAAAAACGTGAACATCGGACATTCAGCGCTGCTATTCTGTAAGCCTAGAAGTTTGACAATGCCATTTGGAATGTCAGTGGAATCATGCTTGATGTTCCAAATGCCATTGTCAAACTTCTAGGCTTACAGAATGGCGGTGCTGAATGTCCGACGTTCACATTTTTACATTGAAAATGTTGACTGCTACCTCGCTATTATTATTTACAAATAGAATACCCTAAAAGATTGGGTCTATGAGTCTGCATTAGTAGCAGAAATGCTCCATTAGTTATATTGTATAGTTTTTGATGTGTTTAATTAAAATAAAGTTTGGTTTGGCATAGATTTATATTTTAACAGATATTTTAGTAGCTCAATGTATAGTACATTATAATAATAATTTATTCATACTTATATATTGTGTTATCGTAATGCATCCTGTACATTATAAGTTTGTTCTTAATATATGTTTTTAAAATTTGTTTGATCTAACAGATTTTCAGCAATAACGTAAATCCCTTTTCCCAGTTAGTCCATTCAATTAAAGACTTATTGTAATTTTTATTCATTTTATATAGTAATTTAAAATTTGTAACATTATACACTCCTTTAATAGTAAGGTTATTAGCAATACCACATTGAAAGTTTTGAGACTAGAATTTAAAAAATGAAATGACTGAATATAATAATTTATTCTTATGTTTTAAAATAACAGAAAGAAAAAATTCAAAATAATTAAAATGCCAGACCAAATATCTGACAAGCTTCAGTATACAGTAGAATCTCATTTTAATAGATTGTGGAACAATGGATCTCTCGGAATAACTGATTTTTCCCAGGTCCCACCAAATCACTTTAATATTACTTCCTCTTAGCAGCTCTATAGCTCAGAATAATGAATTTTTTTCTAGCCCCATCTATTGTAAACTTTGTGTTTTTACAAAGTTAGTTAATATTTGGGTGTTTCTGGGAATTTAGAGTTTGATGATGAACTTGTTACTTCTGGTATACTTGTACAGTATAATTGAAGAATTGTATGAAGAGAGTTAGCATTCTGATAAGATTGAAGAGGAACCACCTAGTGAACGTTCTGATCCTGGTTCATGTGTAGTGCTGAAATTTAGCGAGGCCACGAGTCTTTCCAAGTTGTGAAGACCTTCTCGACAAGTTTCATCATAAACAAACAGACTGTATGTGACATTTCTAATATCAACCGGTTGCTGCATTCAATAGGCAGAAACGCGGCATTGAAACAAACCAAGACGGATGAGTTTTTTAACAAATTGTGAAGTTGGGTGAACTGCTAATAAGTGTACTTAACTTGCCTCTTTTTGTGCTTATGGTATATACAGCTTCCGTCAGCTTTATCGTACACATGTAAGGCATAATATAAGATTTTGTAACAAGTGTTTCTATAGAGTATTTATGAATAGAAATATCAAGAGACTGAATAATTTCTAGTACTGATATTTTTTGTGTGTAGGGAGTTATATAATGGATATTTTCGTGGATATGTGGGAAATTACTGTTTTCGATATAATGGAATCCTGGAACAACAGATGATTTTTGGTGGCCTGGGCAATCCATTAAAATGAGATTTACTGTATATACATTAAATAAACAAAGGAAAGTAAAGAACTAAACTGTATTTAATGGATACAAATTAATACACTTTTAAAGCAGGTTTGATTATTAATCTAGCATTTTAGACATGGTTATAAGTGAAAATTATAATAAATTCCAGCAAATAAACACTTAACCACTCAACTGTGAGAGGATCAGCTGCACACAACAGCAGTTGCATTGGAATTGGTGTCATTTGAAGTGTGTCAGAAACTAAAACAAAGAGACCATGCATCAAAATACAGCTGTGCTAAATCATGTCAAATTCAAAACTAGCCAATTTTGTGGTAATTCCAGATTTCTGGAAGTTAGATATTTGGTCTGGTACTGTCTTACAATAACAATTCCAAATGTTTTATAAATTTCCACTGTCATAATTTATACCATGTTTAAAGCAAAATTTGATTTCTCTCTTGTCAATATATCTGCAACATGAAGTAGTAGTATAAAAGTTTTGGTAAGGCCACTCATATAAGATCTTGTTATAGTTTTTCATATCTTAGTAATAGATAAAAATAAAAACTGGATAGAAATGAACATGATAAAATTTTTAGATAATGCTAAATTAATTTTAAAATTAAAATTTTATAGTAGTAAACCATTCCCAAAAATTAAAAATTGATAAATTTGCTGCTATTATGTATTAATTCTGACATAATCAAATAAATTCTACTTCTATTTTTGTAATTCAAATTGAAATTCAAGAAGTATACAGGGCATTTCCCTTGAATGTCTCTAATTTTAAATTGTTCTGTAAAATCCATTCAAATAAATATGTTTGAGAATTTTGGTCAATATGTCATGTTTCACATGCATACACTTGAAAGAGCCCGCCCATTGCACCATACAGTCCAGATTGCCAGGGCACATTTCGTTGTCTGTCCAATCACATGACATCATCTCTTTGAACTCTTTCTTTATAAACGAGTCAAGGTTAGAAATGAATAAGTGAATGTAAACAAAATAAGTAAATGAATACAAAAGTGCCAAACAAGAGTTGCAAATGTCGGTGGGGTAACTCCTAACATGTGGCTTTGAGATAAGTTAAAATCCAGTACAGAATAGATACGTTTCAGGAGCATATGTGGAAAAGTACTGGTTTAATGTAGTAACTAATTATTTCTGATGCATTTTCTGTTATCATCGTCTACAGTACTATCCTCACATTTATTTTCCCAAAATTAATTCACAAAACTAGGGACATTTAAGGGGAATACTTGGATGTGCTTAGTATATTATGTAATGATAATCAAGTTTTTCAAATATTATCAAATATTTCTTTATGATCTGTTGTTGTTTATTTTCTAACAGAAATTAAATTATATGCAATCAAAAGATTTTGATGCTAAAGTTGCCAGAAGTTTAGAAAGATTTGAAAAAGTCCTCATGCGAGCTCAGAGAAACAACGAACGGTTTAAAACTGAAGGTTCTTTTATTGAAAGTGAAGCTTGCTGTTCAACAAAGGTAAGAAAGTATTATTTAGATGTCAAAGAAGTTTAAAATCATAAGAATATGTATTTATAAATCAAAGAATGATGATATAAAATTTAAAGTAATAACTGATTTTCTTAACTAAATAAAATTTGAAAAAATTTCAGATGTAGTTTTAATCATTTAAATTCATAAATCCATGAAAAGTAATTAATACATGATTTATTATCCTATTAGTAAACATATTTTGAATTAAGAAATTCATTTAATTTGTTAATTCAATTTTTAATGAAATCATTAGAAACTGAACAAAATATAAAAGAAGACTTGTTAAGTTTTTTGATATTTTGTGCATAGATTCTTTTCAACATCTTGCAATTTATATATCTAAACATTGCATATTCAATGTATGTTTTGATATATAAATTGCACTCCAATTTCTACATTGTTAAACTATATTCTTCATAATAATGCAAATCATGCATTGAACATGGAAATTAAATGTTATATACAAAGATATTCAAACCTTGCTTAGAAATAGTGCAATGTTCCTAAATAAGGCCAGAACTAGTAACTCTGTCACTGCAATCAGATTGCTCTAGTGCAGGGTTGTCCAACCTTTTTTCCCAATAGGCCAAATCAGAAATTTACATATATTCAGCAGGCCACAAAGGTACTTTATATAAATATATGCTTTTAAAAAGTTCAGAATGTGAATATCAAATGTTAATAACAAATACAGTATTTTTTGTAATTATATATATTATTGTCAGTCCTAAAAAATTATACTTTCACAAAATAATAATAAATCCAATGTGATTTTTTTTATATTGCCTTCCTTTTATAATATTGTCAATATCTGCTTTTATGATACTAGCCTTAATTCTAAGAATGTTAGTTAAATTGGAATCACTCAACTTATTTATTTCAGCAGTTTTGTTGTTTTTCATGTATTAAAGAATTGTTTACAACAGTATATACTACATTATTATTTTATTAGATAATATACCTTGCAGTACATTCCCGGAGTATGTACTACAGTCGACCCCCCCCTATAACATTGTTGATAATTCCATGTTATATGAATTCCATGTTGTACGAGTATTTGTAAAATCTAAGTGACTCGTACAACATGGAATTCATATAACACTGAATTATCAACAGTGTTATAGGGGGGTCGACTGTACTCCACATGCATAATAGTTTTCTAGAACAAATTACATTATTACGACATCAAAGTATATCCAGTGAAATGAGAATAATTTTTATGCCATACTTTACCAAAATAAATGGAAATGCATCTAAAAAATGTGTAGGGTGCAGTAGGCCGTGGGCCACATAAAAATATTAAGTGAGCCACAGGTTGGACATCCCTGCTCTAGTGTGTTGCATTATTTCATGTGAAAGGAGTCAGAGTTACAACCTGATTATTGTGTCAGATTTGAAAATACAAATGGAAGTGAGTGACCTCGAAACATAGCTCTGCCTGTCAATAGCAAACAGTAGTTCATCATCACTCAGAGACAACAGTATTTCCAACCAACAGAGACGGCAGCTGCATTTGTGTATGTGTGTATATATATATATATATTTGCTATATAAATATGCAGCAATATATATATATATATAGATAGATATACATACACATACACAAATATGCAGCAATTTGAATTAGTGTACTAATCTGAATTAATTCAGTAGCACTAATCTGAATTAATTGAGATCAGTGGTAGTTCAGATTAATGGGGGTATGATAGTAAGGATACAAATCTTACACTTTGAAGCCAGTTTTACTGTTGTAAGATACTTTACAGCAGTAAACAAAGATTAAAATTGTTAAGTCAAACAGAGTCATCAAAAGAATGAGCAGCAATACTCACAATTGTGACTTCTACATGTTGTCTGAAAGTTAACAGTTGACAGGCTCATTATTTTAATTAGTGGAATGGAAGAAGCTGTTTAGATTACAAGGTGTTTGAATGACCGGGGTTCTGATTAGTATGACCATTCCATATGTTGAGTATAAAGTATTGGAATTAAATCTGCACTGTGGCAATGTTGAACACTAATTATGTTGGTTTAAATGATAAAACAAGAGAATAGTTATAGTAGTTTTAGAAGAATATACATTTAATATTTATAGTAATAATGGTAGAAATTATGTAATGTAAAGTTTAAACAATTTTTTTTAATTAGAAGGAATGTGCACGGTGTGATGCCAATAATGGAGATGTGAATTGTTTAAAATGCAGATTATTTTGTAAGTAAAATATTATATAATTTGATATAAAATGTTATATAGAAATGAATGATCTATATAGGAAAATATTATAAAAATAAATCTGCTTTAAAAAACTTTCATAAATAATTACTGTAAGATCAAGCAAACAAATTAGACTCAAATTCAAAATTAAAACTATTGCTGTTTATTTAGGGGTTCCCCTGTTTGATATCTGTTTTATGTCAAGTGTAATGAATATTTAAGTGTTTTACTTGAACCACATTACCTTTTACATACTACCATTTTACATAAAGTTATTTTTGAATGTTCTAAAGAAAGGGAGTGTCCAAAAGTGCTAAATAAATAGCAGTAATTTTGACTTAAGAACAAAAGTCTAATTTGTTTATTTAAGAGGAAATGTGGTGAAATCTTTTAATGACCTCTTTAATACAAATAAAACAATCAAATATTCTTTTAGCTACACAAAACATTACTTGAATATTTTACAAATATATGTATATATTATTACATATATTACAATATATGTAATATAAACGACTTCAATATATATATATATATATATATAAACAATGTGTGTTTGGTGAAGTATCTTGACCAAGTGGATATGGCCATTGAACACTGATAATTGATTGTGAGTTGTGCCTAACCAACAGTCTGGCTGTTTGGAGTTTTTTGGGTTTTTGTTGTATGTCTAACATCTAAATAAGAATCGGTTTCCTATAGAGAGTCATCCTGGGAGAGGCACCACTGTGGTAGATTCTCATGTATTACATTGCTTTACTCCACCAACCGACCAGATGACACAGCTAATTGGGTGTGTCATCTCTTTCAACTTTTTAGTTTTATATTAAAATGGTCACCTTTTCTTTTAAAAATAATGGTTTATTATGCTTCTATTAAAAATTTTTTTTTTCTAATTTTCAAATATTTACAACAGTCATTTATATTTTAAGCAATGTAATGTTTAAAATTAAATTTAATAAAGTTATTAATATTTAATGGTTTATGATGCAATAATAGAAAAATCATTGAAATTAAAAGTGTAATCTTCAAAAAATTGATACTAAATTGATTATTACCTTGTTAAAATGAAATAATAAAAATCTAATTATGATTTATGTGGTCTTTTCTTTTTGCCAGTGGTTATGTGGATAAAACCACTGAACATTAGTAGTCAGTTTTAGGTGTCTGCCACACAAACAGGCTGACCATGTGGAGTTTCCAGGTTTTCTTCACATTAGTTTCTCATAGAAAGTTCTCCTGGGAGGCAGATTGTCCTCATATCACATTGCCACAACCAAATAAACCAATTGAATAAAATACTGTGTTTAGGCAAAGTAAAATATCAAGTTATTCTATAGTTTATTAATTTGATTATATGTTTATTATAGAAGGTGGCCCAAAAATCAGTTAATTGTAGTTAAACACTAAATTTCTTGTCTTATTCAAACTTATTTAAAGTTTTTAAGTAATAAAAATGGTACAAAACAAATTCTTGTAATGATTTATATTTGCAAGTGTATTTGGAATGCACAAAACAAACATGGCAGAATTTTTGGCCATTCTGTATATTAAATTATAATTAACAAGTAATAGTAGACAGTTTTTTTGGCTATAACGTTACATATGTAATAAATACAACTAACCTGTTTATATCTAAATTAGTTGAATATTTAATTAGTCTGGTAGCAAAGATCGGACAAAGAGCTGGGTAACATAACTGGCATCACGTCTGCGTGGTAAGTGGGAGTTAAAGGTTTAAATTCCACTCCGGATTGATCTTTCCTTCCAGAATATCTTAAAACTAAATCATTTATAATTATATATTTAATGAGAGGTGGCAACTAGGCAGTTTTTCTCCTACCAAATTGCTTAGTAATTATTTAGACATAATAGCCCAATAAAGGAATTCAGCAGTTTGTTTAATCTAACATTATATTTGTAAAGTATTTACTACACAATTTACACTTAAATGGCTATTGTTTTTTTATATATATATATATATATATAAGTAAATTAAACTGATAATGATGTAATTGAATTAACAAGCAAAAATAAAAATGTAGTCGAGTATTTTGCAGTTAATAATTCACAAATTGTTTTTGTTTCTACATCATTTTGTAAACCGATGCATCATTAATTTAAAAGTGATTTAAGAATCATTTTTCTTTCATAAGAACGTATTTATTACTTTCCTGGCTGTTATATACAACAGAGGGAAAGTATGGCAATTGGTCAAAAAATGACCTCCCTAACATTTTTACATTTTTGGACTTGGACCTCGAAACATTGAGAAATGCAAAAAAATTCAGGATTTTTTTGTATGTATGGATGTTTGTGTGGGAGGCACAATTTTGTTGAAGCTTGACATGCCTTGTCTTTTGTTAAACATTTCTGAAATTTTGCAGGGTGGTTTGTGTATTAGGGGGATTGATACTATTAAATTTTGGTGGTTGAGCAGATGAACAGATAGAGGGTGGTCGTGTGTCATAACTTTGTGAGTCCACATTGTTTGACTAAGAGTGCTTATTTTTAACATAAATACATTTTAGATACTTCAGTATCTGAGCATATTTATGGAGAACCTAAAATTTGCCAATTAAAAATTCATTTTTAATTTTATAATTTGTTGACAATTATTCAGGAAACTAATAATAGTTTCTTAATTTTAAAATATTTTTGTTAGATTCGTTACCAAAAGATATCAAAACTAACTCTCAAAATACAGAATTGAATAATGAAGCAGATAATAAAAATGAAGAACAGAAAAATAAAACTGCAAAAAGAAGAAGAAAGTTATTTTCGGAGTTAAATGGACCTCCAAAATGGATTACCCAATCTCCGGATGTTTCGGAGAACCGTGATGTTTTCCCGACGTCAGGAAAAGTTAACGAAGCCCAGTTATCGTCCGTTCGACGTAATGAGATGGATGAATCTGATAAATTTGAAGAATCTCCTTTTGTAAAAGTTTCAAAATATTCCCGCTGCAGTTTGGATGACTTTATAATAATAAAAAATAAAAGGAAACTATGCGCTAAGGAAAAACCTAAAATCAATAAATGTGTTCCCAAAAGACAATCTGGTGATCAAAAATTAGCTGATGATAGTGTATCTTCTCGTAGTCTAGTTCTTACGGGTTTTCAGCAAAGGTATGTAATAGTGGAAGATTTGAAAGTTTCCATACAAAGCATGGATCTCTTGAAGAGATGTACCTGTCATACACGTGCACACTTTGCATCAGACATATTTAGCATACGTTTGTCACGAGGAGGAGGAATGCATTTGTTTGGACATTTAGTTAAATGGCACTTGCATTTATCATATTCTGTGACTTCTTAATGAGTCCTTTGCTTATGTATGGAGGGTTTCGAATCATCTTGTATACTTAAAATATATTTAATAAATGCTAATAACAGTTTATATAGAATGAACTTTTGGATCTTAATGTAAACTTTACTTATTTAAACTTGCTGACATATTAATAATCATTTTATAGTGATATGTCAGAATATTAGAGTGAGTCGAATGAAAATGAGCTAATGTGGTTTATTTGCAAAGTTATCTGTAAATAAAAAGTAATAATTTTCAGCATCGAGACATTTGTCCCATTGGATGACAAGTCTAGTGATTCCATGTTTGTGTGAGTCTGTAACCACTTCCTGCACTTCATCTTTAGACGAATCCATGAGTGTTTCTTTAATCAGACACACAGAAATTGCATGGTGAAAGGTCTGTAGGGAGTGTGCTGCAAAATTTTTCATTTGAATTCCTTGAGCTTGTCACGAGATTGGCAGTGTGTAGTCTTGCATTGTCATACAAGAGGATCAAGACATCTGACATCAAGTACTGTGCCTATTGCTGATTACCGTATGGAATCATTGCAGGGATTCAACATATAGTCTGAATCTTTTACTATACAACTTTCACGTGTTTGATGAATTGACAAAGGGTTACAGGTTTGCCTTGGATGCAGAGGCACAAGAGAGAGATTTATTGAAGCAGAAACACTACAAACATGGAATTGCCAGGCTTGTTACCCATCGGGACAATTTTTCAAAGCTGTTGGTGATTACTTTGTTACTTTTAACTTAAAGGTAATATGTGATTAAACCTAAGCTCAGTTTTATTTGACTTGTCCTAATGTGTGTTCTTTCCATAACTTCTGACAGATTATACTGTAGCATTTATTTTAATAATAAAGTTTTAAATGAATCTAAAACAATAAAAATTAAAAAATAATAATTTTTATATAGATATTTTTTTATTAAATTAATTGAAATTAATAATTATTTAATCAGAGATCAAGAAACTCTAATTCCGATTGCTAAGTCTTTGGGAGGATTTTGCATAATTCCGCAAGTGAACGATACCACTACGCACGTCATCTGCGCAGACAATCGTCGAACTTTAAATGTTTTATTTGGAATAGTAAGAGGTTGTTGGCTTTTATCTTCAGACTGGGTAAGTCAATAAAATTAAATATACATTTTAATTTGATTATGTTTAATTTAAAAGTATTTAACAGTAGTTATTAATACAGTTGACTATCCTTAAAACGAACATCAATAAAGTGAATTTTTCCTATGCCCTTGCAAACTGCCATTGACACGATGTTAATTTTCATGCAACAAAGCAAACAAAAATTTTACCAGAATTTCTTAAACCAAACTTAAATTATTTTTACAATTCAAGAAGTAATGCTGTTTCCTGTAATGGTATCTTTTTACACTTTTCTACATAAACAATAAAAAGTGGTACTGTAATAAATGTTCTGTTTTGAATGGAATAGATTTTTTTTTTTTTTGTTTTTTCTTTGATTCTTCAGCATGATGAAGTGCGTAAATTAGACACAGGGCAGTTTTTTCCATTGTTTATTTATTCATTGGTCAATACGTGTTTTGGGTCTCTGGTACCCTCTTCAGTCGACTTTTTATTCTGTTGTTTATAATTTCAAATATATCAGTTAATTTGTATTATACAAATTAACTGGAATGCCTGGTTGCCTGGAACAGATTACTGTCCCTAAGCAAGACACTCAAGTTGAGCGGCCAGCCGGAATTGGGAGGCAGCAGAGAAACAGTGCAGGTGCGCATGTCATCCAGCATGGGACACTGTATGAGGTAATGGCAAGCACCATCAGGTACTCCACAAACAACATAATTCTGCTCATTGGACTTGTCAAACCTGTGGAGATAATGATAAAATCTGCCATGGCCCATGTAGAACTGGGTGATGTTGTGCTCGACATTATTCCAAGCAATTGTTAAGACAGATGGGAAGAAATCCTTCGTAAGACTATTGACCTGTGAATTCCAGCCACGTTGCCAGGTGTCCTGTGCTGTCATGATTTCTTGGATCACTACTAGAGGTGACTGGCCGTCGTGTGTGATGGTACCCCAGACCACACCAGCTGTGGTGCAGTGTGCCACTCCAAAATGTAGGCAGGATTGAGTTGTTTCCCACGGGGCATCCAGACATAAACATGACTGTTGTCAGTGCCAAAACTGAATCTGAATTTGTTGCTATAGACAACCTGGTTCCATTTCATTGCGGTCCAATCCAGTTGGGAGCAATGCCAATCCAAACAGAGGTGATGGTGGGTGGTGTCAATGGCAACACTCATAATGGCTGTCATAATATGAAATTTTTCTCACCTAGGTGCCTTGAAATGGTACAGACAGACACATGGGCCTGTAATGATGTCATCACCTGTGTCCAGATGGCGGACAATGATATGGTTGGCTGTGTGTGTGTGTGTGTGTGTGTGCGCGCGCACGCTTTTGGAAAACCAGGCTGTCCTCTTGGCTAGTGGTCTGCCAAAGGCAGCCTGAGCTTGCACACAGTATATGCAAGCTTTCTCTTGTACACTGGTCCAAAATGGTACTCACAAGGAAACTGTCGGAGTGTATTCTAATAAATTTTAATAAAATTAAGTTAATAACTACGTTAAAAGTATACAAACTCTATTTTAAATTTGTAGCATTCACTAAAAGTGTTGATCAGAGTTATTAGCAATCAAATGCTGCACTACTTTATACTAGTTTAACACAATTATACAAATTTTAAGAAGTGAAATGGTCGTGGAGGAAGACGGCGATATTACATTTAGAATAAATTCTGGAATTTTCAAAAATGGGAGATGAATTAATAAAATTTAGTTAATAATTATGTTAAAAGTATACAAAATTTTATTAATTTTTCAACCATTTTTGAAAATTCCAGAATTTATTCTAAATGTAATATCGCCGTCTTCCTCCGCGACCATTTCACTTCTTAAAATTTGCATAATTGTGTTAAACTAGTATAAAGTAGTGCAGCATTTGATTGCTAATAACTCTGATCAACACTTTTAGTGAATGCTACAAATTTAAAATAGAGTTTGTATACTTTTAACGTAGTTATTAACTAAATTTTATTAAAATTCATTAGAAGACACTCCGACAGTTCCCTTGTCAGTGTTGTCAGAAAGGACTAATGGTGAGCTGTTCAGCAAGGTGACCATCTGGCTTCTCTTGACCTTATGATTCTTTCCTTCTCAAACTTGGTTAGTCATTCGTATGGTTTTTGATTGTGACATAAGTCATCTCTAGTGATAAAGCATCCCTCTGCAACAGGTAAACTACAGATAGGATGCTTTTTGCATGGCTTTTTTATAGACCAAGAAAGGTGCACTTCAATGCCTTCTGCATTATGCAATGAGCCATCATGCTATAACTCTAATCATTTCCATATCTGCTTGAGATTTATCTGCATGCCAAGTTTAACAGCAATATATGATAGCAACTTCTTGGTTTGCTAATTTTTATGACAATGAGTTTATTTACATTGAAGAATCATTTAGGTATGCTCATTTTTTTTGTATACTATAAAATATGAAAGTGTATAACCCAAATTTTAATGTGAAAGTATTAATTGTTTAACATCTGTATATTAAGACTCAAATTGTATATTTATGGTATAAAGAATTTTTATTGACATGGAACTTGACTATGATTATTGATATTTGTGTAGCTTAAGCAGAATATATATTTTAAGTAGTGATTCTATTGATGAAATCTATTGTTGGGAGTAGTTGCAAAGTAAACCAAACTTTTAGTGTAAGTTGTATTGCTCTAATATAATAAGTATTTAAAGAAGACATTTTTCAAAATAAGCTTCTTCTGCCATTCATACAATTTGTCAAGGCAGTAGTGGAAACCAATTTTTATGATGACTTTAATGGTTCTAATTGCCGAGTTTCCACCTCAGCTTCCATTTCTGGTCGATAGATGTTCGACCGAGAAGGACATAACAGTGGTTTTTCAGTTCCGTTACACCCTTAAATTTGTCTTCACCTACTTTTCTGATTCCCTAAAACAAAAGTCTAAGGGATGCAGATTCCAAAAAGCTGCAGTTACAAAAGCTATTAGAGACTTCACAAAAAATGGCTTCTAGGACTTCTTTGACAATTGGTAAAGATGCAAGTAAGAGTGTGTAGATGCAGAAGGAGCTAGCTTTGAAAGTAGTGTAAGAATTTTTGTATTATATAATAAAAACTGTGCCAAAAGTTTGGTTTATTTTTGGTTCTGCTATATATTAATCTATTGGTTTGCAATACAGTCATAAGCCTGTTTGTTTATATGTAGAATTGAAAAAATTGCCATTTTCAATAGGTTTTTGAGTCAATGGAATCGGGAAACTGGTTGAACGAAGAGCCTTACGAGTTGAGTGAAACTTTTCCCGCTGCACGAGTAAGATATTATTTTTAATAAATTCCAATTTTTCTAGGGTAAATAAAATAAGGAAGAACATTATATATTTAATCAGAAATTGATTGTATCACTTTTTCTTCAATCACATTTTTATTTTGTTGAAGCAATTTGGAGTTTGAAAGATTTTTTTAATTAGGAAACTTTCATCGAAATTAAATTTTGTGCAATGTATTATCTAGTAATCGTCTCATAAAGTAATAATAATCATACTGATACTTAAAATACTACCACAATAGTTGTTTGAACAGTTTAAACTTTTCTACATTCAGAAATAATTGATGCATAGTTTGCATATCGTTATCACTGAGTGTATCAGTTTAAAGTTAACATGTTTATTACAGTTTGTTTTATTACACACATCAATCTACAATGCTGTATGAATTAAATAACAAAACAATTATATTCTAAAAAAATTTTTATTCAAAATAATAATTTGACTTACGTTCTTAATTTTATGCATTAAATAAACGTAAGAAACTTTGCTAGATAACTGCATTTTTTAGAGCAGTGAAACTGGTGTACCTCAGCGCACTAGTGTGCCACAAAGATGTTGTAAGTTTGAGGTTCCAGACCTAGTCTGAACCTTTATTACTTGTGCTAAAAATATATCTTTAATAGAAAAAAAGTTTAACAAAAGAAAAATCTCATGTTTAGTAATTTAAATTCAAAAATGTCAAAATGGAGGCTATAATGATCTAAAATATAAGTGCAGGTTTCAACGTTCCATCAATAACTCCCGGTTGGAGTCTGGAAGTTGTTGATGGAACTTTGTAAGCTGCCAATTTACATTTAAGATAAATGGGTTTAATTTGAAAAGGTGACTTGCCTCTGTATGTCCCACACTACTACCAACATACAATCTTTTATCCCTCATTCATCTTGACTGGAGTCTAACTGACTCCCCCTTCCCTAGTCTGTGAATTTCACAAGTGTACTGCGAGATGAATAGAAAAAAAATTTAGTGACAAATTTTAAAATTTGTCAAACATTAACACTACTTTATTGTGTTATCTACTATATTTCAGAAATTTGTGATGATGAACTATCCTAGAAATAGCATGTTTTTAATTATCCGCTCTGTGGGCACTAAGAAGGTCTTTTTTGAGTCTGTTCCAGGTTCGGCCGAGGGCAGGACCCTATATATCCGGGACAGATTGTGCCCCAAAAAATTCCTATGGTTTCTGACTCACTTGGATTCCTTCTAGGGCTCCCAGGAGTGGTAGGTTCAACACTAATTTCTGTGGCCATCTGACCGGCCTAGATATAGTATTATAGAGAGCTCTGTGATTGAGTTGTTTACTAGTTCAGTGATACTTAAGGGTGTAAAATAATAAGGGTGTGTAAACAAAAATCAAACTTCTTTATTTTTACAATGTACAATTTTTACAATCCAGGAACAAAAAATTGACAAAATTAGTTTGTTCTGCATCTGCATTATGGAATATGGTCTACGGTTAGTGGCTTTAATGATTTTAGTCTCAACACTGGCCATCAGAATTTGAAAATGCTCCAAATTAAATTGGCAGAATTTGGATGCGATGCACTATTTCAGCTTCACTTTATTTTTGGCAATGACTGCTCAATTTGAATGGGTCGAGGAGATAATTATTGCTGTGGAGAAAACATACTAAGATAAAATCTAGATATTGTCTGAAAATCAGCATACAGACACGGGATGTGCAAACACCCAGACTGTGTGAAAGCTGGTCTAACAGAATGTGAAAAACATATCAGGTTACTAGCACATACGCTCTTCAAAAACCCAGGTCGTTAACATAAAATTCCTGGTCAATATACAAAACAACTTGTAATATATTCCTAAAAATGTGTTTGAAAGTTAAACAACAGAGTTATGCATTATAAAGGATGTTAAACTGCAGATTAAACAAAAAACACAATAAAATTAATTTTCACAAATGATTTTAATGTTAATGAGCAATTATTTATTGTGATATCATTACAATGCAGGGCTGCAATTTTTAATTTTCTTTAAATTATCCTATATGTGTAAAACAGTACTTAGCCTTGTAGGCTTTATAAAGATATATTTTGAAATTTAAAAACATTATAATCAGTATGGTGATGCCTTCCGATGTCATGGTTAATAAGTAAAGGTTATATTGGGTTGAATAATCAGTCAAGTTCAGGATGTAAGGAGTGAAAAGAAGAAAAAATAATCATATCATATATTTTTAAACATTTATTTTTTAATAATAAATAATTTAAAATATATGCTGTCCATGTCAAATTAGTAGCCTTGCTTCCGTACATAATATTTTTCCTGTTAGCAATCTGGTCATATATTTATCTAACTCTCTTTGGGGAAAATTTTTGAATTGAAATAACATGACTTCCAGTTTGCATCAGAAGTTTGAATATAGTGAATTGGCGTCTTCTGTTCCCAAGGATTCCGTATCTAGTCTCGATTTTCGTTTATCTAACTCCATTCTTGAGATTAAGGAAAGACAGACAGACAACATTGGGAATTTATAAGTCTACAATTTTTTTCAAATTGTAGCCCAATGAAACCAAAATTTGCAGGAAATGCACTACACAACAGATTGAAAAATGTATGAATGTTGAGATTTTGTATACAAAAAAGAGATTAAGAGATGTCAAAGTGTAATAGACAAAAGAATAAGTTGTCTGAAAGTCAAGGACATTGTAATTAAATGATTCTTGACATTTGTGAAATTTATTCTTTGTTATTTTTATTATTAAATGGTAATTTTAAAAATTTACAATCCAGACTTTGTGAATAACAAGCAATTTTGATATTAGCTTGAATTTGTTTTTGTTGTATTATAAGTAGATATTCACAACAAAATAGTAATTTTCAAGCAGTTGTTCATTTCATGTGTTAGTCTTTATTAAGGGTGCAACTATGCAGACTCGTGCAATATGCAAGAGAGCAAGAAGGGGTGGTGGTGTTTCTTGCTCTTGTTAAGTGCAGTGAGACCACACCAACATGAGTGAGTGGGAGAAAATGGCAAGGAGATTACAACAGCACATGTTTGCGTTGAACTCATCACAGAGAAGAGTTAATTATTGCATTGTATGGAAGTAAAAATCAAAACTGTTTGACTAGAAACTTTTGCTATTAGGATTACTTTATAATGAACACACAAAAAGATGATGAAGATACAGTGTTCCTCCTCTCTGGAAACAGTGAAGGAATAAAAAATTTTATTATAATTTGTTAAGAAAACAGAATTTATTTGACTTTATAATTTGAAAAATATTAAAACAAAAAGCTTTTAAATATATAGATGAAAGATACGAGAACAGTTGTCTATTTGTGCCAATGTGCATGTGCGGTATTTGGCGAGAAGAGGCAAGCCACGATAAATGCCAAACTCTGTCACATATTTTGAGAGACAGAAATTTGCTTTTGTTGGCCAGATTTCTTGTTTCTCATTTGTGATTTTCCTTGCAACAACTGTATTGCTCGCTGCTAGACTCATGTCTGCATAGTCACATCCTAATATTTTAAAAATCCTATGAATTTTTTTTACACTATTATATGATTTATCATATTTTTTTCTTGATTGTAAGGTTAATCGCATGCAAAAAGCAAGTAAAGGAGCTGCTTATCAAAGTCATTTGTTTCAACACTTAGGAAATATATTTGTATCTGCGTATTGTGCTCCTGAATACAATAAACTTACAGAACTTATTACTCTTACTGGAGGAAAGGTAATAATAATTCCTTTTGTGGTTATAGTTTATTTATAAATACTTTCTAAAAGATGTTGATAAATATATAATATATGTTAATATAGAAATTTCCTTGTTCTATGTAGGCTGTTTTTTTTTTTTTTTTTCAAGCTCCGATGGTAAATAACAAAATGAATTTATTAACAAAAGTTAGGTAGAAATATGGTTACTTTTCAACATAATCACCATGAAGGTTGAGGCATTTGTTTGAGGCTCTTTCCTGAACTGAAAATGTGGCTAGCAGGGCAGAGGTTTGAGACTAATGACGATCTTGAAAACAATGTTGTTAAGGCCATCTCAATTCACTAGCGGCCACATTCTATGACAAGGGGATAGAAAAGCTCATCCACAGATATGATAAATTCCTCAATCTTCACGGTGATTATTTCGAAAAGTAACCATGTTTGTACCTAACTTTTGGTAATAAAACTCATTTTGTTATTTACACTTGTCTTTGTTTTATGGACCATTGGAGCTTGGGAAAAACCGCCCTCGTAATTGGCCGAGTGTACTAAGCATAAAAGTCCGTGTACTTAACTGGGCCGTGTCCAATAACAAAGCAATAATATAAATGTAGTCACTTACATAACTACAGGTAACTCCCATATAGCACGGGAGTTACGTTACAGAAAATTGCCGTGTTATACGAAACAGAGAACTAGTGTGAAAAGGGGGGTTAGGTTCCAAAAATTAAAAAACATGTTGTTAAATCCTTATTTAAATCGGATTTATTATTCATTTTTTCATAGGTAAAATACTTATTTATTATTTAAGTAAATATTTTACCGGAGGATTATTCATTTTATATGATGATCTCAGCATGAGCATCATCAACTGGTAACAGTTTGTGGGTGCGTTTGTTAATAGCGGTCGCTCTGCAACGGGAATGCGCTGCTGTTTGTAGGCATTTAGGAACAATGGTGAAAGAAAGATGGCGGCACCCACACTATTGATAGTATTGTGTGGAGGAATTTATAATTCTAAAATGAGCTTTTAGAGGTAAAGAAGGATCCCAATTGTAAAATTTAACCATTAAATGGATTATTTGTTGAAAGAGCATTCAAAGTAGCCACAAAAACAATTAGAATGCTCATGCAGAGTTATGCGGAGGTATAAAAGAATGCACCCTTTATTACATTTTGTTGTATGAGGGTTTTACTCAATTCTCGAACCGTGTTAGAGTGAACCCATGCTATAAAAGCACCATGTTATATGGGGGTGTTCCCAATTCACAAACTGTGTTAGAGTGAATCCGTGCTATAGAAGTGCCGTATATACGGGGGTTACCTGTAGATATATTTCAATTTTCTGTAATGGAGTCTACAAGTATCTTCTCTCTGGTGACTGTGTTGTAAGTATTACATGGCTCGGCCAGTTTCCATAGAGATTTAGTGCTAGTGGCTTTTTAACCACACTTGCACATGTTCTGTTATTTCTAAAACTCATTTATTGATGAAATAACAGAAAACCATGCACATTTGATTGAAAAGGCCTTTGAAACCAACAGAGTAATATAGTAACATCATCATCATTAATGAGAAGGCATTCATAGACTTCATTATGGTAGGTTAAGTTGAGACTTAGTATGGTTTTCTTGCATACTGAATTAAATTATTTAATTGGTTATTCCTGGTTATCTATTTACTGTTACTTCATTACTGAATCACAATAATGAAGCAACTTAAAAAATTACAAATTGATTTTCCTACACAACATGAATTTAAAAATACTAAGTTATGTATTATATTAGTATTTATTTAGTAATATAAAAAGATACAGAATGATTTTTAAACATTATTTAATTACGCAGATTATAACTTCTTTCCAAAAATGTCAGACGGTAGTTGGACCAATGAAACATTGTGACGAAAGTAAGAACAGAAATATATTACACATAAAAGAAAAATGGATTTTAGGTAAATTTAATTCTAAAAATTAATAATGTACAATTTAGATTTTTTAAAAACATTTATTAATTTATGAGTTGATTTGCATTAATTTACTTGAAAAATTTGTAAGTAAATATTATATACAGTAAGACCCCGCTTAACGCGGGGGATGCGTTCCTAGATGACAAAGCGCTAAATGAAACAGTGTTAAACGAGGTCATTTTAACATAGAGTAAATAGGGATAGGGGAACACGTGACTGAAAATAAAAAAGTTTTACTTTAATTTTAAGTTATTTTTATATTAATTTGTATAATATATGTTAAATAACACACAAATATATGTTTGTGTGTTACTTCATGCACATTTCTGTGTGCACAAAACACACAAAGAAATGTATAATAATATATTAATTAATTACTTCATTTTTTTCTATATTAATAGTTTATTTTTTGTGATGAAGGTCCNTATTTGCTAAGGTGTGTTTACTTCATTTTTTTCTATATTAATAGTTTATTTTTTGTGATGAAGGTCCTGACTTTTCTGAAATTCTTGTTCTTTTGCAATAAAGTTGTGAAGTTTCATTTGTTGCTTTTTTTCTTTCCTTAAGCAAATGTCAGTAGCGGAAGATCGCATCCAAAACACCTCATTTTGCTTTTGCACTCCTTTCAAAATCTGGATCATTCACTAAATTTGATCAACGATTTCAGTTATCGTTACCAAACTTTTACTAAGGAAATCTGTAGAGAAAATTTTGTGTTCCTTGTTTTCAGAATCACTGTTTTCCAGTTCTACATGGATTCCTTGTCCTGCCAGTTCTTGAAGGTTGTCATTGAAAAGACTCTCACCAAAAACCTGCTCATCAATATCCTGCTCTTCTACATCTCCTAGTTCTGCTGTATTGATTAGGTTGATTACCTAACGATACAATGATAGGCTCTTCTCGTTGAGAATTCTTGGATAACTTCAGCCATAACTTCTTCCACTTGTCCTCCGTGCATTTATCAGTTAATTCTTGCCAAGCAAAGTCGATATTTCCTATGGCATCCGTGATGTTATATTTTTTCCAAAATTGCACCAAACAAACATAGATTTAAAGAAAGTACACCTTTTTCTGATTGGTTCGTGTTCATCAATAATCGTATTATGTACGAATCAATAAAATGCTGTGATAATTTAAATCAGCGTAAATTTTGATGAATTTTTAGGCTTCAAGCAGACGGTGTTAAGTGGGGTCTTACTGTACTAAAAATTTGATTTTTGTTTGGACTCTTGAATGAAGAATTAATTCATATATGTGTGTATATTGTTTACTTGGCACCATTGACTCAATCTTGTTGACTGCTTCTTCACCTTAAGTTCTGCAAGTGAAATAATTTATTTCGGGTGCAAATAAAGATATTTTGTTTTGACTTTTGACTAAGATCTACTCTCTTTGCTAATCAGAAACTTCACCAGTATAGTAAGTACTACTTAAAAACAAAGTCCAAGTAGACTATATACACACAAAGATTTAAAATAGTAAGGATATAGGAGTAAAAAGAAAAAATTGATTCATGCAACAGATGTATACGACAATCTCTTTCTATTTGTGAACTTCTAAATTGAGGTCAAATGCCTACAACTCTTCATTTCTTAATTGCCTAGACCCGTCAAGTTACATATTCCTACTGTAAAGTAACATGGATCAATGGTTTCTTATTAAAAAATCAAAACAAAATTTATTGTACAATTTTTAAGAATTGAAATTTACTAAACAAATTTATTTAATTTTTCAAATGATGATATGCTGTAGACACCTCTTCGGTCACATATTTCTTAATATAGTTGTTATAAGGATATGTGTAACTATATTAAGAAATAGATACTGAAGGGATGTGCTAAACACATTCAAAATGCATGTCATTATTGGAAAAATTAAATAAAGTTGTTTTAACAGTGCAATTCTCTAAACTTCAAATGATTTTTTTTTGTTTTATTTACATAGAATAATTATAATTATTCTGTTTTTCAGTATTTTATGTCTTAAACAATTTATTATTTGTTATATCTTACATGCATTGTCACTTGATTTTCCATGTAACAAATTCCTAGACTCTATACTCATTCAGAATAATATGGGCTGGTCTCCATATTTTTGGATTTGTGTTTTTGTGGTGGCAACTGTGAAATTTATCTTGCTAAAACTTTTGGTCACCACTCGCTGCATTTGCTCCGAGTGACAATAAGACATTCGTGTCTTTGATCTTGCAAGGAATGTAATTTGAATAGAACAGTTTGTGGCCTTTATGTTACATATATCTAATGAATACTCCAGTGCATGCCTCGTTCTTAATTATGTAATCAAATTTTCACATAGTATTTTCAGAAACATAGGTCTAAAGTTTTACTTAGTATTGTAAAATAAAATTAAAACCTTTCAAACACATTTAGACATTTTACTGTTAATTATAAATGATTTTGTAATTTAGGAATTTATACTCTCACTGAAATACCTCCCAGAAAACAACTGGGGCTGTTTTGTTGAGTGTGTGCATTTTCATGGAATTCTGCAATCTTATGGGAAGTGTCAAAACACAATGTCTACAGATAACAGAGACCTACCTAACTGTAATTTTTTTTTAACTCTCCGCCCTGTGGGCACTGAGAGAACCTCTTTTAGCAAACCCATTATGGGTTTGGTCAAGCCCACAATGGGATGACCGAGTGGTAAGAGATGGGACTCGACATATCCAGACAGAACACCCAAAAAATTTCTGGGGATTTATTGACCCATCTGGATTTGAATCCAGGTCCCCCAGAGTGGTAGGCTGCCACCTTGACCACATGGCCATCAGGTCGCCTTACCTAACTGTATTAAAATCAATATATTAGGGCATTACAAATGTACCTTACAGAAAGATATTTTTTTTAAATCTCTTAAAAATCAACATATACAGTCGACCCCCTATAACGTACGTTCCTATAACGACAATTCCTATAACATAGCGAAAAAATTGTAGAAACTTTCGTATAAAGTACCTCCTATAACGTCGTTTCGCGACAAGATTGATAGTCTGGACCAATAGTGGATGAGCAGCCGAACTACTTTCCTCCGACCCTGCGCCACGCTACGGAGCGGCTAAATTGAGTTTGCTATCGTCTGCTTAGTGTTATATATAAATTATATATAAATTAGGTACTGTACATATAATTATATATAAATTAGGTACTGTATATATAATTATATATATGCTTTCTGTCGCCTGGCAACACACTACGGAGATTTTAGGCTAGTAAGTTGAGTTTATTATCGTCTGTACAGTATGTAAATTAGGTACCGTAAGTCTAATACAGCACTAATTTTATACATTTCTTGTGAAAGAAACACTTCTTATTCAACGGCCATAAAAATTATTTATATTAATGATGTCTCCAAAGGTCAAGTTATTTTTATGCGAAAAATTCGTTATTAGAAATCGCGGCCGCCGTTTCATGTGCTGTTCCGCGATGAAAACCAGCTTTAAGCAACGGCGTAGTCGAACGGTACACACTCGGTAAGTAATCCTATAATTTTTTGTTTATAGCATAGTTTATACGGATTACTCCCAAAAAATTATACGTGTTTTGGAAATGTTGAGTCGAATTAGTCTGGAATCGGTTAATTTTATAGAAGAAAACCTTTCGAACAGCCTTAGTCCGTAAAGTTCCCACCTATCGGGCTGCGATTGGATCATGTATTTAATCATTCCTATAACGTAAAATTCGATTAGCGTGGAACGTATCTAAGCGTTATAGGGGGTCTACTGTATTCAATTCTGTTGAGATATTCAATATTATCTTTAAAAATTTGCAAAAGAATAGAATATGTCTTCACATTTCATTCTTTTCAACACCTTAGGAATGTAAGATTCACAACAATACTTTGTAATTGTGCCACTGGCAGAGAATTTTTTAATGCGTTTTATATATAGAGGCAGATGAGAGCCTTGAGATAAACTGTTTCATGAGACTGTTAGTGTATATTATTTACAAATTATAAATTTAAAGTTTATTTTCAGAGAACTTCATAATGGTCACTTGCTTGTTAGGGTAGGAAAAAACTGTTTCTAATGTTGTAATGTTTCTAATTCTAAATGCTAGGAATATATAGAATAACTTATGGACCATTTCTGATACGGGCACTTCTCATTTAATGACTGAGTGCCATTCCTGTGGTTAGATCGTTAAGCAAATTGGTTGTTAAACAATCAAAAACATCATAGTTCATTCAGAAAAAAGACACTCGGATTCATATTTCGGTCACCAAGTCCTTGAAATGCACAATAAAATACAAATTTATAAACAAAATATGTAGTCCTGAAGATTGAAAATGCTTTTTCTAGTGAATATTGAGTGATTGCAGGAACTAGGCTGACAAGTGAGATTAAGAAAGGAAATTCCCTTCATTGGAGAGCTGGTCGTAAGTCTGAGCAGTTAAGTGAGGATTGGCTCTATATCCAATATTTAAACATATTCTATAATGTTAAGAATATTTACTTATAATTAAATATTTAAAACTTACAGATTATTAATTCTAAAAAGATATTCTTTAACATCCAGTTTTAACTTTATTTTGTTTGTTTGTTACAATAATTTAAACATATGAATTAAATTATATATACAGTACCTGTATCTAATTATTAATTTCTTTGTTATTATTTTTGTAATCACAAATAAATAAACTGAATATATCAGACTGCAGATATATATTCTGATATATTCAATTTATTTATTACATTAAAATCTACTTATTAATATATGCACGTGTATATCAATACACAGGTGTAAATTTAACTTTGCACAACATTGATCAAGTGATATGAATGAGTAATCTTTATTTTAAAATATTATGCATATATGTAGAGTATATATATATTTGCTCTTATTTTTCAGATTGTATATCTCAGCATAAAGTACTACCATATGATAGCTATAAGTACGAACGCTCTCCTCATTAAATCGTCATCTTGGAGAATGCCATTTTAGAATCCGGATATAAATAGGTAATTTTTTAGCGAGAAAAGGACTTTTTGAAACTAAACAAGGAGTTTTGAGGCATTTCTCCCATTTTATGCTCAAATGATGAATTATACACAAATTTAATTTATATATACTCATTTTATTACATTTAACATAAGGAGAATATTTTACTATTAAAACATTGCCTCGTAGGGAAATATTCATTTAATCTTGAATAGTTTTGTATTTAAAAATGAAAAACAAATGGAAAAATTTATGTATCTAACTTATGAAGTTTAAACATCTAAAAACAATGCAATTTACAAATTGATGTATTATTTTATGTATTTATGTATAAAAGTATGTTTTAGGAATACGGACTTGATCTGACTGCTATTGCCAAGTGCATCACAAGAGGTATTTTTATTTTTTTTTTGTGTGTATAGATTTATCAAGATAGTCAGAATTTCAAGTAACTAGTATATGGGGTCTTCCAAAAAAATGCTGCCATTTTAAATTATTGTATGTATGCTAATTATTAGCTGAGAACATAATGAACATCCAAATTTCACATTTGCCCATTACACTTTCTCAATGCATGCACCTCATCGTGCGGCATACATCCAACCAGTACTCACATTTTTCATATACTCTGTCATCACTCCTCCCAAGACAACCACAATTCTGCAATTCCTGCAGAATTATTTGTGATGGATGACGACAAGTAATTCAAACTGTAGGGCACAAAATGCCTTATGTGTCGCAGAATCACCATTTTTGTTTACAGGACTTCCTAAAAGTAGTGGACGACAAGACGTGAATGGGAGACAAAGCTCGGACTGTTACTCTATCGATTGAGGTGCATCGCATGCTTCTCAGATAATAACTGATACAATTACAGTAACTTAGTGGTAGCATTTATTTTGGAAGACCCTATATAATCAGGAAAACATTTATATTTATATAAAATGGGCAAATATGAGGAATAAACATTACATAATGCTTTATTTAAAATGTACAAATAAAAATTTTAGTAATTTTTGTTGGAAAATTATAAGACTATAGGCCTGTGCTTCTCAAACTTCGTGTTCATGGATCAGTTTTTCATTCCAATCTCTCTCCGCCACTATTTTTATGAAATTAAATTAAAATAATTATAAAATGAAAAGAACAAAGTTCAAGTGCATATTTTTATTTTAGTTTTCAGACTAAATTAGTAAAAAACCATACTATAATAAAATTTGGTTCTAGTCATTTTGAAAGAATGGATTTATATACCATTTTTATATAATTTCTCAAGCCGGTGTTGATCTCTGGTCCATCCTGGCATTCACTTAGTGGTTAAATTATAAAGATAAATGAAAGTTATTAAATTAGAAGGCTTTTTAAAATAGTCTTATAAATGTAATATATAAAATTATGAAGTTTTAAGTGAAATCTTTCATGCCCAGTAGTAAGCTTTTCAAGGATCAGACCACAGTTCGAATAGCACTGGTCTAGACAATTTGTTTTATAGTAATGGGTAATCATGAATTCAATTTTAATGGTTGTTTTTTATATTTTGTATTGGTAATATAATTCAATTATATGGAATTGTATAAAATTTTGAAATTTCAATTTATTTGTACAAATAATTTTTAATAAAAGTCATTAAAAGTTTAGGAAAGCACTTTTTTTATAGAAACAGATATTTGTTTAATGGAAATTATTTTATGAAAGTAGCGAGGGTTACTTTATAAATTAGACTGTCATTTTTTGCTTTTTGCATCTTACAGGCCCTACAAGGGCCTTTTTTTCCATGCTTGTCATAGGTGCGGTCACATGCTTGTACAGGCCAAACATATCCAGGATAGCCTAGTGAGTTAATTCATCTAGATTCAATTCTAGATACCCCAGAGCAATAGGCTGACATCCTAACTGCCTCGACCATTTGGCCATCTGTTTCAAGTAGGTTTACTATGCTAAATGTTCAAAAATAGGATTTAAAAACAATTAATTTAAAATTCACTGTAAATTTAATTGGAATATAAACAGTTAACTAAAGGAAATGCAACTATACCAATACAAATGAACCAATTCTAGAAAATTAAAGTATTCTATGGACTAATTTTCAAAAGAATTAACATTTTGGGTTTTGAATTACAAGAGAGATAACATTTTTTATGCTTGACATGAGACATATATTTTTGGTAAATTTGGTAAATTTCTGTCCTTTATTTTAAACCATTCTCTGTGATATTTGAACAAAATGAAGTAAATGTCTGATAGAATACATGTTCAGAGAGTTTACTTTAACTGGATGCAAGAGAGATCTTTCCAGCATTACACAAGTATATGCAGATGGTGCATTAGTTCTGCTGATGCTTATAGTAAATAAATTCATTTATTCAAGAAAAGGACGTGTAAATTGTTCCGTAGTTTGGAAACAAGATGCAAGTTAAAATTTGACTCTGGCAAATTGCATAGTGCAGTATGCATTTTTGAAATCCCTGTGGAAGGACAAATAACATACATTCTTAATCTTAATAACTATTTTTAATTTATTATAAATTTTAAGGACTTGTCAGACCACAGTTTTTAATTGGAAACTTTCACTGATTTATAACATACATTCTGCTAATAGGGTATTGCCACAGCACTTTACCAATGCTCACAAAATAAACACAAATACCAACAAGAATTTCTTGTAAACAGCTATTCTACTATTCACAAGAATTTGGTCCCTTAAATTTTCTCTTTTAGGCTTTGTGCATATTTGCACTAAAGTATAAACCTAAGATATTAACACTTGTGCTTACAGTGATGTCATCCTATGACACTCCTGTAACAAATAGAAATCAAGATTTCCACTCGTCAACGACAGCTCGAGATCCGACAAACAGTGCCGAGAACTCCGGAGACGGCCCACGTCATCCGCAAGAGCTACAAATCCGTAATGGAAAAACGAAGTTACGAGGCAAAGGACACTCAGAAATAGTAAAGTCCCTAAGTATGGCACTCGACAGAATACTAATATTTAGGAAAAAGAGGAACAGAAGTCTCATTAGGCACATTCACACTACACATTCTTAATAATGACATCATCACATATTCTAAGTTAATGCAATAAGTGCAGACCAAATAGTTATTCTGAACAAACTGGCGAAATGCGATACATACTATACAAAATTTTGAAACTTTCCAAATATTGCAATGTGCACCGGGGGTGACGATGTGCCCAGTGAATTTCGTGCATCCCTGTCTGACCTTTCCGAGAAGGCAGTTAATTCTATCCTGGCATTGAATTACATAATTTTCATAGCCGAAATGACCTCGGAAGGTACACCATACGAATTTAGAACTTGTCGAAGAAAACACCGAATCGGCAATCGAAAGTAACGGCCATCTCCTATTTAAGCACGTTCTATAAGTAATCTAATAAACATTCACTTATCTAAAATACATTAATAAGCATTATATCGTGTGCTTTTCTTGTCTTTCGTGTTGGGTGAAAGCTACTAGGCTACGGTGCTCCCTGGTAAGTTATTTTTTCGGTGGACACATTACGTGACGTTGTTAGTAGTAATATAATGTATATTTTTGTTATATATGCCGGGAATAATATCTTCTGAAAGGTCTCTTTTTAAGGGTAAATTGCCCTATTCGAGCGCTAAAGGTAACTTGCCTCTATTGTATAATTGCTTTTGGTGAAGTTGAGAGCATTACTAATAATTGATATTAAAATGGTGATGGCGCGATCTAGATTTTACTCTTTCACTGAATAAGATCGGGTTTGAATACTGTTTGGACATCTGTAAGTATTATTTTCCGTCAGAACTATATGCTTTTGTCAAGGAGCCGATAAGAATTGTGGACTCAGCCTCCCTCATGAATTTTAATCCCGAGTCCATTTCTTTGGCAGGATTTTCGCGCGGTTAAGGCGACGGCTTACCGCTGTCGAATTCGAACCGGTCGGAAACTCCGGGACTTTTCGGAGTGTTTCGTCAGGATGTGTGTGACCTCGTCCCTTACCATCTGGCCGCTTTGTTGTGACCTAGACTAACCCATAATAGGATCGTTAAAAAGAGGCCCTATCCTTATGTAAAGGGTGGAAAGAGTTTGAAAAAGCCCATTTCTCTGTAAGAGATGATTTTGAAAAGTACAGAGATTACTCTGGAACTTTTTCAAAACGGCTTTGTATTTGCCGTGTGATTTTCATCAATTTGACACCCAAAGATTAATTTTAAAAATTTTCCTTTACAGTTTACTTTTTTGACTTTTCATGGGCTTGACTGTTTTTTGTTCCTCCTTCATAAAAATTTTTGTTTTTAATTTCAAATTCTACTTTGATGTGGATTCTGCGTATCCTCCAGGTAAGACTCACTTGTCAGTTTGAACTCATATTTTCAATATCTTTCAAAGTTTTGATGCCGATGCTCTTTATATAAAGGGTAGTCACAATTAAATAATAGGCCCTAAGAAGAGCTATACTCTCCATATAAACTGAGAAGAAGAAGAAGAAATAATAATGAAATAATAGATATAATATAATACAGTCGACCCCCCTATAACACGGGTTCCTATAGTTCGGATTCCTATATGACGGCGAAAAAATTGCGACGGTATCCGTACAAACATGGTAAACAAACACCTATAATTCGGTAAAACGTCATCGGGCAGCCGAAGTACTTTCCGCCGTCCAGCGCCACGCTACGGAGAGTTTAGGCGGGTAAATTGAGTTTACTATCGTCTGTACAGTATGTAAATTAGGTACCGTAAGTCTAATACAGCACTAATTTTATACATTTCTTGTGAAAGAAACATTTCTTATTCAACGGCCATAAAAATTATTTATATTAATGATGTCT